CAGTGTTGGGATGTAATCTGGATACAAAGTGTTGGGATGTAATCTGGATACAGTGTTGGGATGTAATCTGGATACAAAGTGTTGGGATGTAATCTGGATACAGTGTTGGGATGTAATCTAGATAAACGGTGTCTCTAGTATTTCCGTAAACCGACTAATAAAGGACTTCTTAATTCTTGTGTAGCTGCGTCGCCCGTTGTCATAGGAGTTACGTAAAAACATTGACGTCATCTCCGCACAAGGCGGCCAGGCCTGATTGGCGCTACGCTAATTTCTTACATTGTACGTAATGCATACGTAAGCAGCGTACATAATTGTGTGTGGCCCGCTGTACGTACGCAGCGTACGGACAGAAGTGTACGTACACTGGTCGTGAATGGCGCCATGGCACGGGGCTAAGTGCTAATGCTAACAGGAACGGGTGAATAAAAGATGTCGTACCAGCTCTTCCTCCTTCTCCATGCCGGTGGGCATCTGCGGCACCGCCCGGTTGATGGACACGCAGTCGCTCAGGTCCGGTAAGTCCCTGTGGCGATAAACCGGCAGCGGTTTGACGGCGTCCAGCGCTCGCGCCCGGAACGAGAGTTTACTCATTGTTTGCGCCAAATCAGCGACGATCTCAAGGAGCCGTGAGTTCCCGCCACAAACCTGCAACGATACCGGCGTGAATCCGTGAGTCCGCTGCGGGTGAGCTCATCGATGTCCGGGGCTCCGGTCACCGGCGGAGTTAACGCAACATAGAGGCCGGTTCTCTGAGCTGCTCCGCTCCCTGAGCCGCGGAAAACATGGCGGACATGTCCACACCAGTGGTGGAGCAATCCCGTCAGCCACCGCGGCACAAAAAAAAAACAACACGCGAGAAGTGAAAGTGCGCGCGCACTTTGTCCAGGAATAGAATCAAATGAAGTTTTAAAACTTGTTCACATAATAAATCGTAGGATCGAACACAGACTTGCGGCTCACACGCTGACCCTCTGTCCCGCTGCAATGTGCGTGAGATGAATTTTAATTAAACATTCACCACAGACAAATGAACAGCTGTTACCATGGTGATATCAAATACTGCCTCATTCATCAGGTCACATTTCAGTTTGTGTTGTGATGTCATGATGATGTCATGAGAGTGGAGAGCACAAACAAGGACAAACACACAAACGAAGTTAGAGTTTAGAACTTTCAACATAAACAGATACACAAACGTGTTTCTCATTGTATGATTGTCATTGTATAAAATAAACATGTTAACACATTTACAACAATATTAACATAAAAGAGTTCTCAATTATTTTGTTTGGTGTCAATAAAAAACAGACTCATGCTAAAATCTGTGGCACATCCTGTCAGAGGAAAAAAAAAAAAAAGAGGGTGGGGCTGATATCCGAGTTCATCAGAGGTGTGAAGTGAAACCGGGGTCACACCTGAGTCAGGTCACATGACAGTTCCTGAGAGTCCCTGACCATCTCCCTGAGACGTTTACCAAACGTTTTGTTTTTCGTTGTTGACGTGATGACAGATTCATCACTTCACTCGTTTGATGTCGTTGGATTTGTAGCAGTTGAGGCTCTGATCCAATCAGTATCCAGAAGAAAACATCATGAACAAATGAACAGACGATGTTCTTCATCTTAACATTGAGTCAGCTGATCTGTGATGTTACACAACACTAAAATAAACGTAGAATAAAATCATGTCATTTTCAGTGTGTAGAAATGAAAATGAACTGATTTTG